TCAATTAATCAAGTCCACTGGAGCATGGTAATTACCATGCTCCAGCAGCCTCCAGAATCTCATGCATCAGCGTCCCAACACTTAAATTATGGTAGGGCACTTTATTTAAAGCTCATTTGATGAACTTTAGATAAAGTGCTCTCGCTGCCACTTTGAAGCATGGGGATGCTGATATGTGAGACAATAGGGGTGCTTTAATTACAGTGGCTCTTGGAGCTGCTCTAATTAAAGTGCCACCCCGTGCTCCCCCCACAAGCACATGTATAAATACCTTCACTCTCTGACTCCAGAACCCATATTCAGCCTCTGACTTGGACTCTGCTCCTGGAATTCCCCCTCAATTTGGGTATCTCAGTCTTTGCTTTTTGTTCCTGCCATCCCCCACTGACTTAACCACTACACTAGACAACCTGTGACTTGATCCTTACAAGTACTGAGGGCATGAGAGAATGAGTTGGTGTGGATGTGTCTTCATTGACTTCAATTTTGCCATCTTGCAACTCGCAGGTTTATAGACCATTTCCAATGTCTTACTATCTCCTATCACTCTTGACAATGAAATATTTGTATTCTTTCCATGAAAATGATTTGAAGACTGCCTCACTCCATATCTGACCTCAGGTCAATCTCATTCAATAATCTTCCTTAGTGTGACAGGCTACAGGTGTCAAGAAAGATAAATACTGTACAAGCAAGTAGAATATCATTGACTTGGCTGAGGACTAGCTCAATAGCTTGTCTGTTTGGATTACTATAAGAAGCATTACTCACTAGTCTAAAATATCATGGCTCAGGCTGCTTAAATCATAAGATTGGCTTAAAAATGCTAAATTTTTGTGGGTTACATTTTCCTTCCACTCCTTAAGATGGAAATAGCTTTTCCTAATTTCTAGTTTTTTGTGTAGGGACCTGGCCAGGTTCCTGGGGAAACCCAGAAGTGGAGACTTCACAAACGCAAAGGTGTAGCTGCTGGCAGCAGCTACTTTTTTTTTTTTACTGCCCCTTCTCTGTGCCCCCTCCCTAATTGCACTGTCAGAGATACTTAGCTGTATTAGACTGAAGTCAGGCAGAAGGCAGGGTAGATTTGTAATTACAGACTAACTAAATTAGAGAAGCATAAGCTTTTGTAAGCAGCAGCTCACTTCATCAGATGCTATGGAGAGATGCAGGAAGCAGACTGTCTAAATAGAAAACAAAGGTTAGAATACAAAAGATAGAGGAGAAAGGAGAAGACACTGCTGGAATAGGCAAGGTAAGTAGGGGAGAGAACAAGCAGTTAACCCATCGAGGGAAGTGGGGGTTGTAAAAAATAGTCTAGGTCTCGGGATAAGAATCTATAGTTTTAACTTTTGTTAAACCATATTTAACACAATCCAGTCCATGGATGACTTCTTGTCCTGTAATTTCCTGTTCAAGTTGATTTTTTTTGGGTTTTTTTTGTTTTTTTCTTTGTTGTCTGAGAACATCAAGTACATCAAGGGCTCAGTGAACAACTGTTCACCAGGGCATCTGAGGGGAAAACAAGTAGTCATGGCCACAAACTCCTGGAAGACCGATTCAGGCTCAACACTAGGAAAAACTTCTTCCTAGTCAGGGTGTCCAGACTGTGAAATAAGCTCCCTCCAGAGATGGCGCAATCACCTACCTTGGAAATCTTCAAGAGGAGACTAGAAAGTTCCCTTGCTGGGGTCACCTGACCCCCAGTTATCTTTCCTGCTTGGTGCAGGGGCTGGACCCTATGCTCTTCCAAGGTCCCTTTTGGCCTAACAATCTATGAACAGGTTTTCTGAAGCATGGAATCTCCAGGAAAGTTACAGTGGGCGCCTTTACAGGAGCTGCTTTATTGCACAGTTGACTAATTGTCAAAAAAGTGTCACTGTCTACATGTGCAGGAGCTTACTATGCAGTAAATTAGTCTACTGTGTGGTTAACTTGCTACCTGCAAATGAACGTAGCAAATTAACCACTCCATAGTAACTGTGCAGCAGCGCACATGTAGATGGCAACCAAGAGCAAACTTGCTTCCAGTCAGCCCCACCATGGGACTATGCTCAAGCTAGCCACAAGGCCATGGAGCTTGGAGCTTCTCCAATCCTGGGGCTTGGGTGGCTCTTTACCTGGCCTTTAAAACTCTGCGGTGACTCCGGGGGCCTATGCCACCTGCTGCTTGCCTCTGGCCAATGGGTCTCACAGCAGTGGTCCTGGGTGAACCACAGCAGCTTGCCTAGATCCTGGCGCTGGCGCCTAGCCCAGCTCCACTGCCTGCTTACCTGTCCAGCACCATGCCTGTGCTGTGCACTGCAGGCAACTACCCAGGCCCAGCAGGCCCAGACTCTCACTCACAGCTCCTGAGGGGCATTGAAGGAGTCATGCTGGTGTCACCTCTGACATCACACACCACTTCCTGGGGGCATAACTGGTCCCAGGATGAGACCACAGACCTTGTAGCCTTGTGGGACAAGATTGAGATCTAGAGCCAGTTCTCCTGGAGTAGGTGCTCCAATGCCCACATCTTTGAGGGCCTGGTGGGCCACATGCTGGAACACAGGTGTGACTGTTCAGTGCACCAGTATCTCATAAAGGTCAAGGCTCTGCACGTACAGTGGGCCCATGTCACTGGCCACAACCACTGATTAGGGACAGGCCACAGAACTATGCCCTTTATGCAGCAGATGGATCATGTTCTCATGTTCTAGGACCCAGGATGGAGCTAAATTGTTCTCCAGCATGGGTGGCCTGCCAGAGCCTCCACTAAGGCCTGGCAGCAGCAATTAGCCATTAGGGGTGGAGGGTCCCTTGGGGCACAAGGAGCCTGTCCCACCATTGTCCCCACCTCTGGCATCATCCAGCAGCTCTGGCAGCTCTGCCCCACCAGCTCTGGGTGTGCAACCCCACCCAGGAGGCCAACCTGGTCATGGTACTGCCTGCCCTCATGAGTTCCAGCTCCTCCCTGAAGGGGGCTCCTCTCTGACCAGCCAGGTGCTGCGCTTCTGCACCCCAGGATGCCACCAGGAGCTACACATAATCACTGCCAGTGGGGAGAAGACTTGAGCCAGTGGGCATGCCTGCCATGCCTACCCAGTAAGCCCCAGACTGGGAGGAGGACCCACCCCTCCCCATTCAGCCTGGCTGAGCTCCTTCTGGCTCCCGGAGTTCCCCCTCCCAGCCTCCCAGCAGGCAGCGAGGTGGGAGGCAGTGCAAAACTTAACTGAGCATCTTGTGCCCCCTCAGCTAGGCAGGCTTGGACCTCTCACCTGTGGAGAAATGCATCAGTGCTGGTGCTCCACCTGTCCCTGCAAAGCAGGCGGGGACAGGGGTCTTGGCTGTTGGCTGCCTGTCCAAGAGCCTGCTTGGTTGACTTATCATGGTCTCTGGCACCTGTTATGCGCATGACCGCCAGTCCGAGACCCGGCAGCACACAGCAGTGTCGCTGTGGCATGCACACCCACAGTGGTGATGCCAGAAGCCGGGGTGGTGGGCCCCTGTCCCTGGGCTCAGCCCTGTAGGTGCCCCCACCCCATTGTCCCCCAACCCCAGGAGGGCACAGAGTAGTGTACATAGCATACACAGTGAACAGGGTGCTTTAATGCTGGTGGGTAAGGTGATTGGTGGTGGGGCTCTGTGGGTCAGGAGGAGGATGGAGGGGCTCTGTGGTTCAGGAGGGGTGGCTGTTGGGAAGGGAGGGGGCTCTGTTGTTTGGAGGGAGTGGGGGATGGGGTTTGTGTTTGTGCATAGGAATAAAGTGCTTTCCAGCAAACTGTCTATAGTGAGTGTTGTGCTGGGGGTGCTCAGTGCAGCTGGGGTCCATGGACAGCTATCCAGGTGGCCTACAGCAGGGAGTGCAGGAGCAGGTGGTCTGCCAGTACCTCTCACACCTGGTGTCCTGTCCTCTTCTGCCAGGTGTGCAGCTTGCTTGGGGCTTTGGTGGTGGGGGCCTGTCACTGTCACTGCCACTACAGCTGGCATTCCTGGTTCCAGGCATCCTTCACCTCCTGCATCTCTTCTGTTCATGCTTTGAGGAAGAGTTCTCTCTGGGCCTCACAGATGTTATGCAGCACACAGGCTGTGATGATGACCTGGGGGATGTTGGTTTCTGCAGCCTTGAGGTGGGTGGTGAGAATGTGCCAGCATCCCTTCAGGCAGTCAAATGTGTACTCCACCAGTGGGCAAGTCTGGCCCAGGAACATATTAAAATGTGCTTGGTGGGGATCCAGCCGGCTGCTGTAGAACTGCATGAGCCAGGGGAGGAGTGGGTAGGGAGGAGCCTTGATGAGGAGGGCTGGGACTGTCATCTCATCCAGCTGGAGGTCCAGCACCCCTGGCATGAAGCACCTGCTTTCTACCAGGGCTGGCAGGGTGAAATTCTGGGCCAGCTGCACTCATGTTGGTGAAGGTGCCATGGTGATCAATGATGTCCTGCAGCATGACAGAGTGAAAGCCCTGTCTTCTGTAGTAGGGGTGGTCACGAGGGGGTGGATAGCTGATGGGGATATGAGTCCTGTCCAGGGCCCCAATGCACTGGGGGAAGCCAAGGGCATGGACCCCCGCCACCACCTTCAAGGGGTCATGGACCCAAAGCACCATGTGCCCCAGCACAACTGGGAGTGTACCACAGACCTCCAGGACAGCTTCTGGTGGTCACCTTGCCAATGCCAAGGAGGTGGCCAACATAGCTCAGGCTGGCAGGTGTGGCCAGCTGGGGCTCCATGGGTAGGGGCAGCAGCATGGTGGTGGTCTGCTTTTCCAGGTGCAGGTGGAGCTGATTGAGGAGCTCCTAGCCCAGGTGGTCTTGGTCATCTGAAAGGACTCCAGCCACTGCTCATTGTCCCAGGTGCTCTGGATGATGTGCAGTAACTAGTCTTAGCTGGCCAGGTGGGCCCACAGGCAGTGAAGCTGAAGCCCCAGAAGCTCATGGATGGTAGTGGTGGTGGCATCCAGGTGGTGTTTGTTAGCATCTCTGCTGTGGTCCAGGCAGCAGCCCTGGTGCTGTGTGGCATCAGCGCGGTGGCCTTAGACACTTCAGTGAGTCAGGCTAGGTGGTAGCACAGCATGGGGGGTAGACATGCCTGAGACTGACTTGGGCCAGGTGACATTCGCTGCAGCAGCACAGTAAGCAGGGTGGCAAGCAGGAGCCTTGGGTATGGGTTATTGCTCCTTGGGTCTGGGGGTGGAGCAGCCATCACACAGTGGGCACAGGCTCTGCAGATGGTTGCAAAGGGTGGTGTCATCATGCTGCAGACTGCTCCAGGCCAGAAATGCAAGAAGTTGGTGTTCAGAAGTGTGAAATCCATTGTAGCTAGTATTGCAGTACCTGGAAGTTTGTCAATGAAAGCTAGTTTCTTTAGGAAGCGTGGTACATTTCAAATACTTGACAAACTCTGTGGAGTATGGGAATAGGATTGAGTCAACATAGCCAGAAACTCCCTCTGGCTTGCCAGGTTTGTGGCTCTTGGCTAATAAGTAAAAGTTGGCTGGCCAGGGTTCCCAGGAGGTAGAAGCAGTAATTTTCTCCTGTATTTCCAGTGGTAGCATCTTTAAGAATTTATTTAGTTCCTTCTGGTGTTGTGCAGTGGGGTCCTTAGTCAGGAGTTTGTTCTTTCTCAGTTTCCATATGCTGGTTCGTTCATGACAACAGTGGAAACTTCCCTTTGCCCCCATCATCCTGTTGTATGGTAATATCAGAGTTTTAAGGCTGAGTATGGCTTTCTGTTCTTTAGGACTGAGGTTTAACATTAGCATTGCGGATTTTTGGAAACCTTGGAGTAGGTGTGGAGGCAGAAACTGTTTATATACCAGCCCAGACTGGGGCTGCAGCCTTCAGGTGGAGTCCAGGAGAAGCCCTTTTTCTTGTGCTATACACAGCTCAGGTCTGCGGTGGGTTGACCATTGTGTGGCTCCTTGTCATAGAAATATTTCTTTAGTCTTAAGTGTCAGAAAAAAGCCTTGACTAAGGCTTTTTTTTGATAGTACAGACATCTCACCTATGCTGAGAGTACAGTTGGATAGGTTGATAATATTACAATAGATTAGAGGGTTGTTGTAGGACTTCCTTCTTCTTTAAAACAGTGATTGAAAGTATTTGTGATAGGCTTCATGGCTTGATGAAATCTCCTTTTGGGAGATTGGTTGTTTATATTTAGGTGGTAGGGCTGTGTGAAACACCATTTAATTTTGACTTCCGTTTTGCTGTTTCAATGGGACAGTGTTTCGTTTTGAGTTTTGTTTTGTTTTGAAAGCACTGTTCCATTTCGTTTGATTGAAACTGTTTCAGTGTTTCAACGTTTTGCCCATGGGGAAGCACAAAACTGCTTATAACTTTGTCATTTCTTGCCTGATTCAGATGAAACCAGGGATGGTAGCCCCTTCCGAAGCCTTACAGCCTCCCAGCTTTCAAGTAGATAGGTTCATGGGTTTCTGGAAAACTGCACCTCAGGCTGCTAACAAGCAAAACTTATGACGTGTGATTGTATGTGTGTGTTAAGGCGCACTGTCACTGGCGCTGGGACCTCTACGCAACACAGTCATTGGCCAGCTACATAGTCAGTGTCAGAGCAGTCCTTCCCTCCTCTTCCCCCTCCCTCTCCTTACTTTCTGTTTCCTTGCAGGCAGGCCCAGCTTCTGTTTTGAAACTTAAAACATTTCAAAACTTTCAAAATGCTTCAACTGCCCTTGTTTCATTTTAAGCCTGTTTCGAAGCCTCTCATTTTGTTTTGATTTTGCTGTTTCAAGCTTGAAATGAGTCGAAACAGTATCAAAACAAAATAGCCGGTGAAATTTCACACAGGTCTATTAGGTGGTTCTATTTGCTGATTGACAGTTGCACAAGTCTGGTGTTGATCTGTTCCTGTTTGCTGTATAAACTGTAGATTCTTACCCCATTATCTGGATTAGCTTTTGCAACTCCTATGGTTGGATTAATTGCTTTATTTTCTCTCTCCTACCCACCTTGCCTCTCACAACAGTGCCTCCTCCTTTTTCCTCTCTTTTCCCCGCCCTTTGTATTCTAATCACCTCTTTCTATTTAGAAGCTCTGCTTCCTGCAGTTCCTTCAGAGTATAAGCAGCTGCTTACAAAAAAAGCTTCATTGTATGAGGGAGCCTGGATGTCCAGCTCGTGGGTTCATATTCCACAAGGTGATAAGGCCTCTAAACTTAAGTGTTGCAGTGATCAGCATTACATGGTTTAGTCCATCTTGTGACACTACCCCAAAGTATTCTAAAATAATTGCTTTAGTCCTTCCTGGACTACAGCATCTATAGATCAATGTACACCTGTGATGAAATACATATGTAATGATTGTGAGATTCACAAATGCAAGCCTTTGTGATCTATAGGGCACTGAGGGTGTAACCACTGCAATGTTTTCTTTCTATACAAATGTCGAGCATTTGTCAGAAAATGCCTCATAGTAATATCTTATCAGTATGACATTTGAGAGATTACAGAATCAGGAAGGATCTTCTGGTGTTTAAAGTAGCTGACAGAGTCAGTTGCTTTCATAGTAAACATTACTTCAATTTTATTTATTTATACAGGAGCAAAAATGCCATATATTTTGGCTAAGTACAGACATTCAAAAAGCCTAAGTCTGAATTTATTCAAGTTTTGCAGGTTAGTCTAATCTGCATAGATTGAACCAATTTGCAAGTGAATAGACGTTCACTTTTGATCTTGGAAATGCAGCGACATTCCTGCAGTGGCTCAGGTTAGAAGCTGGGGGGCAGTAGTACGAGCCCTCCCTTCCCTTCCTCAGCAGCTGCAAGGCTGGACAAAAGCTGACTGGGGGAGTTGAGCCAGGCCTTGACAGGCCACTGAGTATGATTGGGGAGGGGTTTGAACCCCCACCCTGTCCTGCAGGGACCCCAGCCAGGGTGTGCTTGGAGGGGGAGGGGAGAAGCAGCCCTTTCCAGGTTTGTCCCCAATGGAGGGTGTGGCCAGATACTGCCCAGGGCCTCAGGTGAAGAAGGGGGAGGGAGGGAAATTAAACCCCTGGCCTGTAGCTGCAGGCAGGTGCCTTGGCAGCCAGACTGAGTGTGCAGGATGAGTCCTTCATACCTGTGGCTGCCTGGGATGGCTCAGAGGTGCTAGCGGGCTCAGAGCCTGGCAGCCACCTGTCATGGGGGGCTCATGTGCCTGCAGCCGCTGCTACTACACCCTCTGCATGGTGCTTGCTTATCCATCTCATGTAGGACCTACAGATGGATGAGAAAGCACTGTGGAGGGGGTACAGCAGTGACAGTGGTGCATGCAGGCGCATGAGCCCACATGGCGGGCAGCTGTTGGGCTCCCTGGTGCCTCTGAGCCAGCTTGGGCACCTCTGAGCATGATGGACTCATTCTGTGTGACCAGTCTGGCTGCCAAGGTGCCTGTCTGCAGCTTCAGGCCCAGCTATTATGGAGCTACAGCCAGATGGCAAGGGCCCTGCCCCCACAGCCTGGACTGGGCTGGCCCTATTATCTGCCCACCTTAGCCAGGGCTGAGCCAGGCTGGCTGCGGGTGCTGCTGAGGGTGGGCACAGAGGTGCTGTCCCAGGCTGAGCCAGGCCGTGAGGGCAGGGCCCTTCCCAGCTGACTGCAGTTTCATGACAGCTTAGCTTGGCCTGGGCATGGGGAACCAGGAGCAATCTGGGCACACAGCTCCCATGGGCCCAGCCTGAGCTGCAGCTGGCTGGGAAGGGCCCTGCCCCAATGACCCAGCCTGAGCCAGCCTTTCCACACCTGCCCTCAGTAGCCCAGATCAGCCACACAACCCTAGCCTCAGCCCTAGGTGAGGTGGGGTTCTGACAATGCTCCCTGCCATGTAAACGGCCAGTGGAGCGGGAAGATGAGGGAGTTTATTCCTCTCCCTGCCCCACTTTTTCCTGAGGTTAATGCCCCGGCTGGCTCTAGCCATGCCCCTGGAGCAGTGAGGGGGGTGGACCCTGACAGGGGCTGCCCCATCCTGACCAGGCAGACCCTGGCTGTGGTCCCCAGGGGAAGAAGGGAGGGAGGGGAAATAAACTCTGTCCCTGCCCCTTTGCCTTAGGGGGCCACGCCAGCTGGTGTCTGGCCATGCCCACACCCTTGCTGTAGCTAGAAAGCAGAGGGGTGGGGCCAGCCCTGATCTCTGGAGTAGACAGCACAGCCTAGCCCAAGGCTGAAAAGCATGCTGGGATGCTGGGGAATTCTGATTTAACATAAACCAGGAAGGGGTCTGGGACAAAAGTTCCATAAACTGGTTTGACCCAAATCAGTTAAGTTTGATACTACATTCAATCAGATTTATCTGTAACCCTAGCCTCGTGGGGAGCCCAGATTGCTTCCGGCTTCCCACGCCCAGGCCAGGCTAAGCTGTCATGAAGCTGGAGTCAGCTGGGAAGGGCCCTGCCCCTGCAGCCTGGGCCAGTAGCCTTGGTCAACCTCCCAGCCCCTAAGGCTCGGGCCACCTCTCTGTGGAGTGCTTTCTTGTGGTTTCCCCACACACTGTAGTACATACAGTGTAACTATTTTCACAGTTTATTATTTATGAAACATTCAACCTATGAACAAGGTTAACAGCAGAACAGGATATCAATAATCTAATTGTTGAAGGCAGGTATCAATGAACTAAAACACTCTGTACAAATTGAATTAAAGACACCCTCAGTACTCCCCAGCTTAAACCTTGAGACTCCAGTGAATTTCAGCAAGAGCACACAGGGTTAACAAGACATCAGCTCTCCTTCACACTGGCAGCACAATACCCATGCCTGGTGCTGCTGCTTCAGAAAGTCTGGTCTCTGCTAGAGCCTCATGGGGAAGAGCAGCTCTCCTCTGCTCCAGCTGTCTGTGGTATCTGCAAAGAAACACACTGTCCCCTCTCCCCAAAAGCACCTCTCTCCAATTCCCAGACATGGCTCCTTGTGCTGATAACTGAAACAACCCTGGGTTTATCACCCACCTGGCCCCAGGCTGGTTTTCAGTTAACTCTCCCCAGAGCCTTCCCAGACCAACACCCTGCCCTCCTAGGCAAGTGTCCCTTACCACCCTTTTCC